TCAGTTACAGTCCCGGCACTCCAAGCAAATGCACTACTTGAAGCTCATTCCATTTATTATAAATTAATTCTCAATATGTGTAATTCTGCCGTCCACTTAGCCAAGCAAAAACACATTGGTCTTCTCTTCTCTACTTTGCTCCTAAATTACTTTTCTCTACCTTCAGCTCTCTCCCATACTCACCTGCATCACACCTATCATCTGACTTCAATGCCCAAGACCTTGCAGACTACTTCATAAAAAACAACAGCCTCTCATTGATATGAACCTGTGGGCTTTTTTGCTCTGTAGACCCTCCGAGGGAATGCTACAAGTGAAAAGACACTTTTTCATATGCTAGTTCTGGCAGCAAACTAAGCACTAGCCCAGCCATGGCTCACACTATTGGCTCCACCACTTGCACAGGTTATTTCAAAGATAAAAGACACACACTGACCATATATGTCAGAAACACATTATTTACATTTCATACCGTTTGTCTCCATGGGAACAGTATAATGAGTACCATTTATTAGTTATTGTTTCAGTTGATATGTTATCTTTAATTTGATTGTGGTTGTGGCAAGCTACATTTTACAGATCTCATCCAACCAGTGAACCTGACACTAGTGCATGTAATATTCATGCACATTATTGAGGGTCCATAAAACTAGTAAGGTCATACTTTATGCCATAACCTCTGTGTTTGTTTTACATTATATGTCTATATTGTTTACCTTTTTTAAAAAAAATTATAAAATGTATAGTACATTTAACACATTCTCTGTGTTCTCTTGCTCTCACTCACATCTTCATACTATACCTTTTTACTGGTTCATTCACATCCCCTTTCAAACACGCAAAGGTAAATCCCATACTCAAAAAAAAAATTTTTTTCTACTTTCCTGCAAACTACCCCCATTTCATTACTTCATACCTAGCTTCTAATCTACTTGAAAACCTAGTTTACAACTGCCTAGTCCACTTTCCAGCTTCCTGCTTGACCACCTGCAATCTAGCTTATGTTCCCAACACTCAACTGAGACTATCCTCACCAAGGTTACTAAAGACCTTTTTTTGGCAAAAATAATGGCCACTACTATCTTACCTGACCTGTATGCCTTTGATATAGTCAACCACCCCTTCCTTCTACAGACTCTCAGCTTTCTTGGCCTCTGTAAAACTGCTATCTTTTGGATCCACTCTTATCTTTCCAACAGGTCCTTTTTTGTGTAATTTGTGTGAGTGGCCCAACACCTTGTCTGTAAATGAGATTTGTAATTCCCTTCCCCAATGAATTCTGTGTTGAGAAACACTCTGCTGAGGTATTGCCTAAAGTTTGGTGATGCCTTGCCTGGTGTAAATATGTTGATGTGCTAATTGAAGTAGCAGACTTAGGGTATGAGATTCTAAATTGACCTTATTGCAGGCCAGATTGTGTCTGATTAAAGATATCAGAAAACAGTCTTGAGAAGGCAATCCATAGTCATGTTGTAGTTCTTGAAATGAACAGAGGGTATGAGTTTCGTAGAGGTCTCCCACAGCCTTAACTTGCTTTGTCACCCAGGAGCATAGGGACAGATTTAAATTATGGTATTCCCAATAGGTTATGGGTGTGTTAGCAGTCAACTGGTATAAGTTTTGGTACATGTCAGCCATATTGCCCCACACCTTGAGAGAGTAATGAATAGAGGGTAATATCCTGGTGTGAGTGAGACATAAACCCAACCAGGTAATAAACAAATGACTGATCCATTGGTGCATCAAAGAGTTCTCCAAGTCCACCAGGAAACCAACCCATCAGTATTAAACATGGGTGCACATTGTACTAGTATTGTTGCCTTATGTTAGGTGCAAATGCATGGAAGCCCCAATCCACCTGCCCAGCGTGGCAGATAAATGGAGACCCTAGTTATACATCTAAGTTTATGAAAGTCTACAAATTTGACAGATCTTTTTGGATAAACATTAAGATGGTGTCCTGAATACAAAGGGGAATTGTAAGTATTTGGTATAGTAATTTTGGAAGAACTGACATCTTAAGTGTAGCAATTCTAACTAGCCAAAACAAATCAAGATATTTCCATCTCATCGGGTCGAGCTGAATCTGGGTCAATTGTTTTGTTAAATTAAGTGTAACAATAGTCTGAATGTTTTTAGGTATATGATTCCCTAGATACAAAAGGTAAGTATCCCTCCACTTATAATGATGTTGATGTCATAATGATGTCACTAATTCCATTTTATTGGTAGAGTCTGCCACTTTGGCCAGTTACGTTTGTTGTATGACACCTTTCTAAAGTTTGCTAGTAATTCCTGGAGTGCAGGTAGAGAGTCATTTGGGTTAGTAAGATCAACCATAATGTAACTGACAAATACCCCTAGGATTGTAATAAAGGAGGGAGATAGGGAGCAGCCTAAAATACTTGGATTGGAAAGTATGGCAATAGCAAGTGGTCCAAGAACTATATCGTATAAGATTTAAAGACTTGTGCAAATCATGAAAGAGTTGGTGAGGATTAACCAGGGTATTTAATCACTTAACATTTAGGGAGAAAACTAAGAGTGTCATTAAAATGTGAAGAATAATTAGTATTGTAACTCACTAGGGATTTGAATTCTCACATTTTCACATGAAGCCACATGTTCGCACCTGCTCCTCTCCAAGACAAGAAAACAAAATCTAAATAAAAAGTATATTAAAAAAAAAGTATATATAACAATATATAACAATATATTTAGTGTGACAAACACTCCTTTCCATGAATGTTTACCATGGACCCCTGGAGGAGTGTAAAAGCCAACCTTGTGGCCCCCACTATGGTCCAGGTTTGGGATACGTTTGAGAGTTACCCTGCCTAGCCACCACTAGTAGCTTTCCCTGGGTGCCCCTGGTTTGGCACTTTCCCTTCATGCGAATAGAACTGAACATTGGTTCTCTGGCGGTCATTCCCATGAACCAAAACACATAAACAAATATAATATGTTTTCAAGTTAAAATATCAAATATGCTTAGTTACATCTAGCTGAGGAACATACCCTCATACAACCTCAGATAAACTTGCTTTTCTCCTTTCATCTTGTATACATCTGCCACTACAAGTGCTACATAATATGAAGGCTTAAGTTGAATCTTAAACTATAGGAATAAACTGTAAATTAAGTGATATTTAATACATACCATTAACATAGATATATCTAAAGATACAGCACAATGTTTACAGTGCAGTGTGATAAGTTTGCAGTAAAAAAATAATAAACATATAAGAGTATTAAGAGTTTATTTGGTAATCAGCAATTAATGAGTTAAACACTATGTAAATTGGTAAAAATGTCATATGGTATACGTCAGAAATCTAGATGTTTACAACTTACTAAGCAATCAATTGTTAGTACTGTTTTGATTCTGTGCCACTCATCCATTGATTGATCTATAGATCTATTGAAACTACACCTTTGTAAACCATGAACTTTTATCAATAAATTGACAAATTGTCAGATTGCACAAGAAACTCTGTCTGTTTGCTTATTCCTCCCAAACGGTTGTATCAACAAGGGTTTGCCAATAAAAAGTTTGGTTCTTCAGGTAAAGAGATGGTTGGCCAACTGTGTAAGACCCAGGTCAAAGAACCCATTACAATATCAGTTATATTTAAACATGAATTTGCAGAGTTCCCAGACCAGAAGAGAGAAAATGAGCATGACTGACATAACTTAGCAAGTGCCCCACCACCAGCAAAACCCCAATAAAAGCCTTATTTTGGGGTAAAACGCATTAGTGTTTTTATATTGTATTTGGTTATATTATTTGTTTTTCTAATAAAACAAGTTATTTATGCATTTTGGACCTTTTTTAGATTTTAATTGGAGTATTCACACATTGATTTCCTAGGTGGGGAATATACCACCTACGCCTATTAGGATTGAGCAATACTTGACATTGCACCCCTCTTGTGAGCATACCTCATTTTTATCCTTTTAGCTATTTTAACTACACAGAGAGCACTAGATTCTGTTTTTATTTGCGTTTTTATATACTGATGACTTCTGACTGCTACGTTGTGGTGCACTGAAAAAGTGTATCTCCACTACTCTTGAAGACACCTCTCAACATACTACAAAGACCACCAATATATCCAGAAACGGAGATTGTACTGTCCAGGTGCGTATCTCTGGAGCCAAGCACAGGCTCCAGAAAATTGTTGGTGCATTTTGTTTTTATCTATAATTAGCACTTCCCTAAATACTACACTATATCCCACTTTCTCCTCTTATTCCCTATAAAGGTTCATCCCCACTTGGATTTGGGGGACCTAATATCAGTCTTGATATCCTTTACATCCTTCCTAAAATCAGAGAGAACTTGGGATATGCTCCCCCTGTCTTGAATTGCATCGTCCCAATTCCTCAGAATCCGAGAAACCCTCTGCCGGGGTTCCTGGTCTGGAGAGCTTTGTTTCGGCTGTGAGGAGGAGATCGTAACATGCCTGCATGTTTCATGCTGGTCATCCCGGTTTTAACACTCCTTGCATAGAAGTTTTTCTGAATTCTCTGGATGATGTTAAGGAGCTAGTCGCCGCAGAGCTGATCTACAGCACGTCTTGCACCATTAGTGTCCAGGTTCGGCCCCCTTCCTCTGTCTTTTCTCACATCAGTGACTGCTTATATGGCATTTCATCCTACATGGCCTCCCGCTACTTAAAGATTAATATGTCCAAGACTCCTTCTAATTTCCCCCTTAAGCTCTACTGTGATCCCTATTAGTTTCAATCCCAGAATCCGTTGTGCCTGGGAGATAATTGCCTGAGTAAACTACTCCAATTTAATTATCCCTCAAGCACAAAAAATCCCAGAAATATCCTGTCCCCCCAAAGTCCCCCAACCATACATAGGAACCCCACAAAAAGTACATTCCCCAATAGCCCTGATCTGAGTGACCAACATGTCCAAGAATCACTCAGATCGGTTTGGTAAAATGGACACGAGGTGGTAACCGAAAATAGTTCCAGGAGAATAGGTGCCCTGGCCGGTGTCCATTTGTGAGGTTCCTGTGCAAAAACCATACAAGGGAATCTTTTGCTTTCACAATACAAATGCTCCCCCTGTTCGGTACGCCGTTCGTGTAGGTGGTGGAGGAACAGGCAGCGGTTGACAGTTTACCATTGATTCAGCGAGTACCTAGCCAAAAATTGTTCCAGGCACTCGATGACTAAGTACCGCTGCCCTCGTTCTGGAGACAAGATGGCCGCCATTCTCCCAGCCATGAGTTCAGTTATACGAGTGGTTGGTGTTAACATTCTAATGGGGTACAAGGGTTGTCCTCGTTCGGGAGACAAATAGATTACATTTGTATGAAGTCTCCTGAACAGTCAAAGAAGAACCACACGAATTAACCAGCAAAACACATGAAAGAACAGGGGGAAAAGATACGGACAGCTAATATAAGGATAAAAGTATCTTGCAAATGTCCATTCCACTACACTAATCAACAAATATTCTCAAGCCCACCAACTAAGATGTATAATTCACCTGCTCCTTGCATCTTCTATTATCATGTAGTCTTCTCATGATAGACTACAGGACTTCTCTCGTGCTGTGCCAACCCTCTGGAGCACACTTCACTGCGCCGTTAGAAGTTTCCCAAGTCTGTCTTTCTTTAAATGCGTCCTTTAAAAATTATTATTCAATGAAGCCTACCACTCAGCTCAGTAACTAATGCACTCAACTTACCCAATAATTCCCCTCATCTCACTTGGTATTAACGTCATTCTCCCCACCTCCTGTTTCTCCTATCCACCTCCCCCCCCCTCCCATCGATATGGAATGTAGCTTTCACCAGGAACATGGCTCTAATCTTCTCCTTTATTTGTTTGTCTAATTTTGTATTGTCTCTTAGTTATATAGTACTATGTATTTCTACTTGTACCATTGTACCCCTGGACAGTGCTGTGCAATGTGATGGCACTTTATAAATAAAATATAATATTAAATAATACAATTATAAAAACAGCTGGTCTTAAATTTGAATTCACTTTGTAGGGCCTCTATTGGGTGATAAACATTAGTTTACTAAATAGCCAGCCACATGCAGATGGAGCCCACTTGAAGATACTCATCACTTTAAATGATTGAAAACTTCAAGATGTATAGTTCAACATACTCCAGAAACTTAGAATGTGAATTCCAGATATGCACAACACATTCCATCAGATGTGTAAAGATGCCCACTCCTCCTCTCACATGTATATGTCTGCCCTCTGTCCTTTCTTCCTTTCATCCTGTTTTTGTGCATTAAGTGACTTCAACTACCGGTAGTTAAATTCCAGGAACTTGGACATTTTTTATTCTTAACTGCAGTAAGGAAAGTAAATGGCTGTGAGGTGCAATCTTTATTCATTGCTATCTCTGTATCTATTTTTTTCTGTTGGTCTCTTTTAACCTATGTAAAATTCAGAAAGCTCAGAGGGGGTAAGAGCAGTACCTTTGACCCTGGAATCCCCAGGCAAGACACCTAACAATATATATCTGCCTACCTCTTCATAGATTGTAAGGTTTGTTTGAGCAGGGCCATTTTTGCCTCTAATATTTACTTTTTTATAAATGTAAAGCTCTGTGCAATATGTTGGAGCTATTTATATGCTAATTGTAAGACAGAAGGTGCATGGTCTACAATCAAAATATAGAAATTAGGCTGTGAGATTGAATTTTCACATTACTTTTCTCTTTGTTTTATATATATATAAAACATATGGATGAGATTTTTTTTTTCAGGAAAATTCCCTTATGATACAAAAATGCATCAAGTTGCAAAATTCCCTGAAAGTCTAAAAACTCAGCATCACCAAAGATGTGCACATTTAACACCTAAGCAAAAGAGGTTTTATTTTGATTACCCATAAACAAATTGTCATGAATATATTTCCAGTAATAGAAATATGTCTCTTGGTCCAATGCAAGGGCTTTCAGGTCTGAGCAGCAGAGGGGCAATTTCTCCATGAACCACTAGCATTCAGAGAATTTCAGCCTTGTATCACCATTTTTCAGTTGATTAAGTCCAGTAGAAGCTACATTCAGGCTGGCTTTTAGCACAGTGTTGTTGGAGAACCCGTGTTGCCCAGTAGTATACAGGTTAAAAACCTTTTGTGCATGGGCTGGTGGTTCACACTCTCAATGCTTGTCTGAGCTGTATTGGGTTACTGGAAGATTTCCCCATGGACTGCAGTATTTGAGTTGACCAGGCTGCCAGACCATGATTAGTATGAATACTGTCCCTGGTATTTGCAAGTGCCCTCGGGGTGAGATGAGATAGTGTTGTAGACACTCATCATGTGCCCCAGTTTTCCTCAGTGACAGTGAAATGCCAGAAACAGTTTGTATCTCTGTGAATGCTTTGTCATGCTGTGCAAATAATATTAATGATGTTCTCCAGGATTGTGACTCCAGTAACCTCCATCTGTCAGATCTATATATTGAATGCAGAGTGCTTCTTACAGCTATCTGTGCCTTACTAGACCACCTATTGACCTGCATTCGCCCATCTTCCCCAGTTATTTTGACAGACATCATCTGTTGTATAGAGTATTCTGATGTCAAAGTACATGGTCAGGATGACTTGCGTGTCTAGGCTGCACAACTTATACAACCATGCAGGGTTATTCTTTAAAATGTGATTGCTATTTGGGGGGTGGGGGGTAGCAGGGGGGTTAGTTGAGAAGGAAATTCTACATTTTTGGCCAAAATTGTTGACTAGGAAAAAAAAATATATTTTAGGTCAACTTATTTGGCCATCATTTGAAAGTTCTGGGTTAATTCCCAAAATGTATAGTGATTGCATAATCCTATGGCAATTGACCAGGAAATAGCACATGATTTGCCAATTTAGCTCAACTGCAAAAAATATTAGTCACAATTCTTTTTCTAGTGTAGCTATGTTGGTCTTAAATTCAGGATTATTCTAGTTTACAGTGACAGAATAATATAAATTGTATTAAAGACAGGAGGCTTCATATTTGCTTTAACCTTCTTTACTGAACCACTTAGCAGCAAATAAACAGTTAAACACATAGAGAAAAAAAATCAACCAATCAGAATACATCTTAGCATATATTAGTCTGTGAGACTCTTCCCAACTCTTCTTTCTTGATGCAGGCGATCAAACGTGTAGTCAACCATGTAAACCAGAGTGATGAATCAACCATGTAAACCAAAACAAAGTAGAAACTGTAAGCCTCCGGAGAGCAGTCTGTGGGATAATGAAGCGGTACATGCAGACGAAACTTCACACTAGAAAGACAGAGAAAACATTGTGAAAGTATAGTCACTTGGACTGGGTGTCTGCAATATATATATACAGATTAACACATATCGATATCACGAGTATCAAACTATTCGAAATCTAAATATTCCTAGCTCGGTAATTAAGAGTTCACATAACCATAAGAAATAGAAACCGGCAGTGTAATATACAGTCTTATGAAAACATCAAAATTAAAAATATATATATCTCACGTAAAGTAACTGGGATGGGATACAAAGTGGGTGGAAAAATATTTGCCTCATGTGTTTAATACAATTTAGATTATTCAGTCACTGTAAACTAGAATAATCCCAAATTTTATGGTAAGACAGGAGGCTTCATATTTGCTTTTTTTAAGGCGTGGAAACCAAGGAAAAAGAAGCATAGGACAATTGTCGAAAATAAAAAGGTACGGAAGGTAGACTCCCTAGACCAGTCACAGGATGCAAGAGATCTCCCAGCCACATAGGCGGAAGAGGCGGCAGCACCTCTAACTGAGTGAGCTGCAAAGGATGGATCTACGCTTGCCAAAACAAGAAGCCATTTAATCCAGCGGGCAATCATGGGGGGAGACACTGGTTTGTGTGGTCGGACATATGAGATAAACAGGGGGCCCGTAGGCATACACAGAGGAGTCATAGCAAAGACGTAGTGCTGAACACAACAAGCAATGCAGAGAGATGGTCTGTCTTTGAAGTAAGGGTAAATAATTGCTTAGGAGTTAGCTTTAGCGCGGCAAGAAATGTTAAAACATACACCCTGGGGGGTGAAGTCAATTGCATGGAAATCAAATGCTTGAATATCACACACTCTCCTAAAGTAGACTAAACAGAGAAGAAGAGCTAGCTTGGCTGACAGTTGGTGAAGAGAATGTGCTTCGTTCGATGGCCATGTCTCTAAGAAGGACAAAACGAAAAAGAGCGACATTCGAAAACTGAGAGTATTTAGGAACAGGGGGTCGAGCAAGACGAAGACAAAGACAAACCAAGCCTCGCAACAGTCTAAAGAGAGAGGGATGTTTCCTTACTGCAGCATTGTCAATAGGAACATGAGCTGTCGAAATCGCAGAACGAAACACATTAATAGATCTGTAGGATTTCCCTTAATTGAAAAGGGAGGACAGGAAATTCATAACGTTAATCAAAGAAGCTGAAAAACAAGAGAAATTCCAAACTCGCCAGGCCAAGAGGTAAGAACGTCTAGTGCCAGGAGCCCATGAGTCTGCTAGAGAGGTCGATCCATCAACCAACTGAAAAGGGCGTCTGTCTGACGATTCAGCCGAGTTGGCAATAGGTCGAGGTTGAATGGACCCCGAAGTAAATGGAGATGATAAAAGACCTGAGGATCCAGTTGCCAGTCACTGGCATCCCTCTAGTTTCAAGAGAACCAATCTGCGAGTTGGAACCGAGCAGATACTCTGCTCGAAGAAAGATGTTCCTGTCCAGACACAGTCTGTGTATGTGTGTGTATGGACTCAGCAGTCTGTGTCTGCATGGATTCAGCAGTCTGTGTGTGTGTGTGTGCATGGACTCAGCAGTCTGTGTGTCTGTGTCTGTGTGTGTGTGCATGGACTCAGCATGGACTCAGCAGTCTGTGTGTGTGTATGTGTGTGTGTGTATGGACATAGCAGTCTGTGTGTGTGTGTATGTGTATGGACTCAGCAGTCTGTCTGTGTGTATGGACTCAGCAGTATGTGTGTGTATGGACTCAGCAGTCTGTGTGTGTGTGTGTGTGTGTGTGTGTATGGACTCAGCTGTGTGTCTGTATGAATTTAGCAGTCTGTGTGTATATGGACTCAGCAGTCTGTGTGTGTGTATGGACTCAACAGTCTGTGTCTGTATGGACTCAGCAGTCTGTGTCTGTGTGTGTATGGACTCAGCAGTGTGTGTGTGTGTATAGACTCAGCAGTCTGTGTCTGTGTGTATAGACTCAGCAGTCTGTGTCTGTGTGTATAGAATCAGCAGTCTGTGTTTGTGTGTGTGTGTGTGTATGGACTCAGCCGTCTGTGTGTGTGTATGGACTCAGCAGTCTGTGTGTGTGTGTATGGACTCAGCAGTCTATCAATAATTAAAATTCCTGTGAGTTGTTGTGTAGGAAGAGCCCCAGTGCATTGCTTTGCCCGGAGTCCCTTAACGCTGTTAAAATGGTACTGCTTGTGTGTGTGTCAGTGAGCTTCTATTTAGTGAACATGTGTTTGTCAGTGAACTTTTCTTTAGTGAGCTTGTGTGTGTCCCTGAACTTCTTTGTAGTGAGCCTTCTGTTTATACAAGTGAGTTTGTCTGTAGTAAGCTTGTGTGTGAGTCAGAGAGTTTTGTCTGTCAGTAAGCCTATTTGCGCATGTCAGTGAGCTTGTGTGCTTACTGTAATATATATATATTTATATATATTGACTTGTAGGAATGGCATAAATGTTTTTCCAGGGCTGCTTTGGATTCCCAGGGATTCCCAGTTTGGCTCTGCCAGCGAGTGCACTTTATTGCTGAATCATCTGTCTGAGCTGCCGCACACTTTAGCCCTGTTACACGCGTTGACAGGTACTAGTAGTCTAGAGATTGGGACATGGGGTATATGTTCAGCTATCTGTATAATACAGATCTGTGTGTATATAATATCCCGGGATAGTCAGTGCTTCCTGTATAGTGCTGCTCTCTGTATAATACAGGCCTGTGTCTGTATAATATCCTGGGACAGTCAGGGCTCCCTGTATAGTGCTGCTCTCTGCTCTCTGGGATATTATACACAAACAGACCTGTATTATACAGAGAGCAGCACTATACAGGGAGCACTGACTGTCCCAATTTATCTTGACAATCACGTGTTTATTAGAATTTTAAGTAATGAATACAGAACAGAACATAGTACAAGAAGGAAATTCCCCGCACCCAATCATATGATGGTGAAGTCTTGTGGTTGCCTCGATGCCCGAGTGCTGCATCCCCTGTCCCCTTCTGCTAGGGCTCCCCCTCCTGTTCCCCATCTCGTCACCTTCCACCCCACCCCCCCTCACCCTCTCAACCGGTTTCTGTACTACGATATGTAATACCAGGGCCAGTATACGAGTATTAGTTTGTTGCCCGTCACATCCCCTGCTCATTTCACTATGGCTAGGGCTCCTAAGGTTCTTCGCCTCAAGCATCCCTGTTCCATGCGTCAGGGCCTGTGCCGCAAGTCCTTCCTGATAGCAGTTTAGTGTGGGCGTTGCGTCTGGTGCCCCCACGACCACTGCCGGTGAGTTTTGTGGAGTAATCTCCTGTCACCTCTTGGCGGGCGCCCCCCCGAGGCTGTCCCCCTCTCCAGTCCCTCCAGTGTGCTTGTGAGTCCTAATATTGAATTAGATCCATTACATCTCGTTGTCCCCACTCCTCCCCCTTGGCTATGTTGTTCCACTCTTCCACCTTATCATCCCCCCCTTGTCCCTTGTCCCTAGAGCTCTAGAACCACCTTACCCACCTTCCCGCAGCGTATGGCTTAGGTCTCCCCTGCCCTCCCTCCCCTCCTCCCCTCCCCTCCCCATCCGTGCCTCTACACTCCGTCCTATGTCAGGGGTGTTAACTAGTCGTCTGTCCCTGGTTAACGTTGCTCTTGTGCTAGGCTTGCGCCCAGTGTGTCCCCATCCCAATCCCCCCGCTCCCCCCACTCGCAGCAAGTCCCCCCCCCGGTCACCCCCCTGCCGGTACTATTGTCACTCGGAACCTGCGGAGGTCGTCGCCGGTCACCCCAGGGCATCTCCCCCCCCGTGGGTCGGCAAGGTCGGCGGCACCGCGGCACCTCCTTCTCCCTCCCCCCCCGGAGCGCCCCCCCGCCTTGCTCTCTTGGTCATGTAGTCCACCCACGGGAACCAGGTCGTTGCACATTTGTCCGTGCGTCCCTGCAGGGAGGCAGTCATCATCTCAAGGTTATATATGTCTTCCACCTTATCCACCCATTGCTGGAAGGTGGGGACTGTGCTACTTTTCCAGTGAATTGGGATTAGGATTTTCGCTGACTTTAGCAGGTGTACGGTCAGACCCTTTTTATAACTCCGCAGCGGTGTTTGCGTGTGATTAAGCAACATTTGCAGCGGCTGCAGGGGGAGGTCTGCGTCCGCTATTTCCCTAATTGCTTTGTGTATCTGCTTCCAATACGGCGTTATTAGTTATTAGCGAACACGACCACCAGATGTGAAGTCTTGTACCCTGTTCCACGCCGCACCTCCAGCACTCCCCGGGGATTGACTCATGGACATGACGTAATACATCTGGGGTTCTGTGCCAACCCGTTAAGATTTTGTAGTTACATTCCTGGTATTTGGAGCAGATGCTCCCTTTGTGTGTCAGCATAAAGATTTTGTCCCACTCGCTGTCCGTGAGACTCGTTCCCGTCTCTTGTTCCCAGCGCTTGGTGAATCCCAGGGGGGTCCCGCTGCCCTGCAGCTGGAGCATGGCATACAGCGTGGACACTCCGTGCACGAGGTGTTGCCTGTCCACGCATGCCTGCTCCAGCGGTAGCAGTGTTCTATGGATGTTGCCTTTTCCCGCTAGGGAGAGGTAATACCTGTGCACTTGGTGGTAGCGGAATTCATCCAATCCGGTCGGGGTGTGTGTTACCTCAGTACACCATTGCCGCAGATAGGTCCATTCCGTCGCCGCGTAGCTCTCGAGGTCCGCCCGCTTAAGTCCTCCCGCAAGCCGCGGGTTGTTTGTTATAGGAATCAGCGGGTTTGGCATCGTGGTCAATTGCTTCACGTATCTGGTCCTACACCACACACGCATTGTGGAGTCTATCATTGGATTACCCGTGTGAATGTCACCCAGAGCCGTGCCGTCCAGCCACAGCAGGGAGGGAATCCGTCCTTGCGCTTGTTGATGCTCCATGTCCACCCACTGCTTGGCGGTCGGGAACACGTGCCAATCCACCAGGCGGCATAGATGGGTCGCCTGGTAGTAGGTGATTACCGATGGGAGACCCGTGCCCCCCGCATGCTTCGGTCGTTCCAGGACTGACCTGCCAATATGAGCCACTCCCCGAGTCCAAACAAAATTCCGTATGGCGGTTGTTAGGGACTGGAAGAACGATCGCGGGATACACGTCGGCAGCGTCTGGAACAGGTAAAGGATTCTTGGCATTGCGTTCATCTTAATGGCGTTGATCCGCCCGAACCAGGAGATGTATTGTGAAGTCCATTTTTTCATGTCCCTCTGTAGGGTCGTGAGAAGAGGTGTAAAGTTAAATGTATATACGTCTTTTAAATCGTTTGGCAGCCATATTCCCAAATATTTGAGCTTCGACTGGCATACCCGGAATGGAAAGTGCTCGCGAAGGTGCCTCAGCATGGCGTCTCCTGAAGTCAGTGGCATGGCTCCGATTTGTCTAGGTTGAGCGAGAGGTTCGAGACCACAGCATACTCTCTGAACGCTTTCAACAGGTTAGGTATTGAGATCCGAGGCTGTTCCAGGAAAAATAGCATGTCGTCCGCGTAGGCCGCCACTCTATGTTCTCCCCGGCCCATGCGGAGCCCCGTGATACCCCTTGACTGTCCCAATTTATTATACACACAACCCTGTATTATACAGAGAGCACTGACTGTCCAGGGATATTATACCCAGACAGTAATTGATAGCTGTGCTGCAAAATATCCTTGGAAATTTTTTTCAAATGTTGGCAACTATGGCACTGTATCAAGGGTAATGTGTTTGTTTTTTAATAATCCCTGGTGGAAAATAATGAATCCTCCACCAGAGATTATTAAAAAAAAACAAACACATTGTGTCGGGGGCGGGGCTTAAAATGCAGCAGGGGCGGGGTCAAACTGCGGCGAGGGCGGGGTTAAATGTGCCCCCCCTCCATTTGTCCCTGGCCCTCCATGTGCCCCCCTCTAAAAATGAATCCTAGAGACGCCACTGAGAGAGAATCAAGTAAGACTAAAGGAATACTTACGTTTGGAAGGCATGAGTAGTAACAAACCGCAGCCACATAATAGTGGCGCGGCGAAAAATAAAAGATAGTTTTAATCAAAATTACACAATTAATAAAAATTCTAATGGATAAATACAATCAGAAAAGGAACCTGAACAGTGAACTGAAGAAGAAGAGAGATTGTAATAACAAATGGGAAGAATATTATCTTTTAACAAGGATAATGTTAGATTAATAACAATCAATATAGGTCTATAATTGGAGTTTACTCACCTGGGAGGCAAGCAGCAAAGAAAGAGGAGTTGGGAAGAGTTTCACAGACTACTATATGCTAAGATGTGTTCTGATTGGTTGATTTTTTTTCTCTATGTGTTTAACTGTTTCTTTGCTGATGGGAGGTTCAGTAAAGAAGGTTAAAGCAAATATGAAGCCTCCTGTCTTGCCATAAAATTTGAAATTCCTTAGTTTATTGAATGACTAGAGTCAGTTGATAAATGGCTAGGTGCTTAGAATATCTACGTATTTATTTCTCGTGGTGACCACGCTTTTTATTATAAAATGTTGTTTTAATCCATTGCACACCAAGTTATTGAAAAATAGCATTTGAATGAGATTTTGTCAGAATGCATTGCCAGCGAATACATATAGAATACAGCAGCAGTTTTGTGCAGAGATTGCGATTTGGAATTCCTATATTAATTAAAATTAAGTAATTTTACACAAATTTAAATAAAATATTTGAGATATGTTGTGATGTCCATACTCTTGTAATATCTCACAAATTCAAATTCTAGCATAGATGCATAAATAACATGTTTCACAAAAAAACAAAACACTGATCAATCAAAATGATCAAATACCCAGCAATTGGTACTTGTAAGGATATGCTGGCAGTTTTGTGAATGCAGCTTCCTACATAACTACCACATACAGTAACCATGGTTATACCAATTTTCTGTACTTTATAAGGCATTGTATGTTACTATTACTACCCGAAACAATGTATGCAGCTTGTTCAGTTTGGTTAGAAACCTACTTTCCCTATATTTACAAAAAAAAAAAATTAAAATGTCATGTGTATAATAAATAACCTTAATAGATTTAAAATATGTGTATTTTGGAACAAACAAAAAAAACATTTTATTTAATTCTCAGGTGCTTTAACACATTCTCACTATTTGAAGCTTGCTGAAATGCTTTATGTGTGAAGAGTTTGCCCTCGTTTTTACAAAACGTGCAGGTTTCAATAGAAATTGACATTTTTATAAACAAAAACCTTGTCACACCCCCTGGCTTATTAGTAGACAATCTGTCCTATTACTTCCTGGTTTGGTTAGATCAGTGGAGCTCAGTTGAGCTAAATTCAAGAGACAGCAATTGCCCAGAGCACCTGTCTCGCATTGAGCTACATTGGGAAGTCTGTGATTGGACAGACATAGAAAATCTGGGCGGGGTTAGAAGGGGAGGGCTTGCAAGCTGGAAATGCTGCAAACAAGATATCAGCATTTTTTGTAAGATGTCTTTAGATATACTACCTATGAAAAAAATGAATAATAAAATTCATGCATGTTTTTATTTGGGGTATATGTACTAAACGGTGATTTTTTTAAAATTTCTCTTGTAAATGTGGGCAGCTGAGTGCCCCTTTAAGAGAAATGAGCCATGGTTACTCACAGCATGTAATATTATCCAGACCACATCTTTTTATAGCTTCATATGAAGTGTATTAAATGTTATTGCTTCCGCAGCAGGTGACACACTCTAGGGCTTATCCCATATTTTCTAAGCCAAGATTCAGACAGATGGCATAGGGTTGTGAGAGCGCAGGCAGTCATATACCAGAGTAATGTGTACTATTTTTTGTTTCATGCCAGCCTAGCCAAGCATGGCACACTCATAATGCATTCCTTTAACAATTGACTTTATTTACAGGTAGTAAATGTAAAACAGTTAAACATACTGCCAGTGTAATATCATATCAGCATATTCAGAGGAATATTAAAATCATCATCTCTTTGAGACATATTTTTAGAAAGACGTGACATTCTTTGTATAGTATGGACACATCCAGTAATTGTATTTATGCAAACAATGAGAGTTAGCAGATTGTACACTGTTTGGTTTTACAAAGTTTGTCCCTTTAATTTAATAATGTTTAATAAGCTTTTCAAATATTTTTAAATAAACTTTTAAAATTATTTAATATGAAAAAATATTTTCATTGTGTAATATTTTAATATTTTTGATAAACTGATATATATTTTAATGTGACATATGTTATAATTATATTTTTAAAACATAATTTAAAAAGTTTACCACAAAATATTAAATTACTTAAAAACCTTATGCAACAATAGTAAATTATAAGTTTTTTTAATGTCAATGCAACCTGCCACAGGTGGCAATTTATGTTAAATTTACCCATGTTTCACAGGAATGTATGGGCACCAATTCTGTATTCCAAAATTGCATTTGGCTTAGTTATCATATATTTAAATAATCTTTATTAATAGCCTTGTGAACACCAAATTGCCTACTGAAATGTTCGTGGGCTGAATAATTTGTATTACAAAGTGTACACATATTTGTATAATTGTAAACGTGTAACTTTAAGCTTGCAATTTATCATTATAAAGAATGTATTTTTTCATTTGTTTCATTTCAGAAATACACAATTCTGATCATCCACATACATATTCAATAATTTCATGCAGGTATGCCCTTTGTTATTTACAAAATAATGTATGTGAATTGGATTCATATTGACAAATTAGACATTGGCAAATGCTAAAATATGGGTGAAACGTTTGCGAGCTGAATCTGGTATTTTCCGTAGGGCACTGACTGTACAGTTTTCCCACTTCACGAGTAAGTGAGCTCACAAGATCCTCCTGGCCTGTGTAGCTTTGGAGCAACCCTTACTACTGTAAGCCAGCAGACTTTGGTTACTCCCAAATGGTGATATGTTCTAATGATGTTGGCAATCAGCAACCCATTTGAAATTCTGAACTTGGAAACAACATATGAATGAATTATGACACAAACAAAATGGACAACGGGTGAGCCATTTTATTTGAGTCGTGATTCAGGATTCTGGCATGGTGCTAAAAAAGAACTGATCAATACAGGGAAAAAGGAAGAAGCAGTAAAAATAATCTGTCTTTATACAGTTAATAAATATAGATTTTTTTTGCTGCTTCTCTTTTTCCTTCAATTGGTTATTTCTTCTCACTAGATCTGCAAACGAAATAGAGTGGAAATGTAGTAAAATGCAGTATATTTTGCAGTTCACTAATTGGCACAGTTTGGCACCCTTTTTTTTCAAACTAATTATTTTCCAGAATCGTTTACATGTGCAGAATTCCTCCTAACCAACTAACCATATGAACGCAATTTGGACACTTCAACTATTTATTTATTTTCTGATGAAATGATTCAACTGAACCAAATTTCTTCCCCTTACACAAGTCTACAAGCCAGTATGTGGCTTCCTATAGGCAACTAAGGTAGCCACCAAGGGTGCTGCTTAAGGGGGGAGCAGACCCTAGCTTTATGAGTTTGTGCCACTGCCTGCAGCAATACACATCAGCCTGCTTAGCCATGCCTCCCCCTTCCAGACATCCATTGCTACAGCAGCAGCGAAAGGGCGCTTCAATTCCTTGCTCCCACCCCTTCCCCTGGGAAGAAGTGGGCAGGAACATAACAGGAAATATGCTGAGAAAGGACGTGATGAGCCGCCAGGCACAGGGAAGGTGAATATAGGAACAGCAATGAAGGTAAGATGTGTGTTAGTCTGCTTCAGTCAGTATTTTTGTGTATGTTCGTCTGTATGGGTCAGTGTGTGTGTATGTCATGTGTGCAATGTCTGTATGGGTCATTGTGTTTGTCTGTATGGGTCATAGTGTGTGTCTGCATGGGTCAGTGTCGGTGTCTGCATGGGTCAGTGTGTGTGTCTGCATGGGTTAGTGCATGTGTGTCTGCATGGGTTAGTGCATGTGTGTCAGTTTGCATGGGTCAGCATGTGTCTACTTGAGTCAGCGTGTGTGTTAGTCTGCATGATTTGGGGGAGCAAATGGGGTGTTAAAATTGTTTTTGCCTAGAGTGGCAAAAATGCTTGCACCGGCCCTGCATACATTACCAGGCAGGTGCAGATCACTGTTAGCACTGAACTGCTCTTCAGTACTTGATGGTGAATCAGAGAATAGTAACTTGTTTATTAAGAAGAAAGGAAGAAAACTTTAACTTTATTTTTACAATCAGGAATGAAAGCAGGGAAGGTCCTCAGCATCTTTCAAACGCACACAAAGACACATACACAACACCACAATAACCCTTCCCACACAAACAAAACACCAATAGAGTCGACACCTGAAAAAACACCATAAGAAACATCCCATAAACATTACACGCAAACAGCACCTCACAGACACATAAACACGCAACATTAACAGCCTCCCTATACATCACGGGTTGGTGAGATAAAAATATCTTCCTGGCCTGACAAGTCTTGGGAGCAACCTTTACTAATGCAAGTCAGTAGACTTTGGTTTCTCCCAAATGTTTTTTTGGTTGATTTGTTCTAATTGTTGGCAATCAGCAACTCATCTGAAATTCTTAAAGCAGAAACTGCTCATGAATGAATTATGAAGCAAACATAATGGACAATGGATGAGCCAATTCATTTGAATCGTGATTCAGGATTCCGTCCATGGTGCCAAAAAATATACGAATGATGGGGAAAAAAAGATGATTATATATATTTACAAATCAAGTGAGAAGTGATCAAAATAGGGAAAAAGGAAGAAGCAGTAACAAGAATCTGCCTTTATATAGTTAATAAATATACACATACAGCATCAACGCATGTATAACACCACAAGCATTCCCAAATATATTTAATTAGAACATTATTGTCATTCCACTAGCAAGAACAGAATGTGAGATAACAAAGGAGGTATGGGTCAAGATTTGGTCAACCACACCCAGGTAAAATTCTACACTGGAGAGAAAATAGGATCAGGAGCTAGATGTGATTAAAGCGCTTTATAATTTTTTTATTTTTGTTTTTGCTTTTTATTTTTTTCTGGAAGTCTCTTCCCCCTCCCCAGCACTACATTTCCTTATGTATAACCAGAATTGACAAAGGGTGGTCCTGGGGCCAATAAGAGTTGTAGGTGTTTGGTGGGTGCTAGTAGGAGGGATCCATAGGTTTGGGATGGGGAGGAGGTCATTTCAGAGCTGCTTTAAAGCATAGAAAGTATGTATGTTGTGAAAAACAGGCATTTTCTTCAAAGAGAGCTAATTTTATCATAAATAGACAATAATTATTCTGGATTAAGATGTGATAGCTTTAAAAGGGCAGAGCAATGGGGAAAGTATTTAATTTGAAGATTGAATATTATCATCATGTCATAAAAAGCCACAAAAGAAGACAGGGAAAAATTGATCTTCAGCATGAGAAAACAGTAGACAGAAATTAATGGTGAAGAAAGATATTATCAAAATAATTTTGAAGAGGCAGACAGAGATGACAGACCTTCATAATATGCAGTTCAATTATGGGAAGTAGGGTAAAGTAATTTAATAGCCAGTCTGAAACACAATAGCATTGATCATATGAAAATTTGTCTTTTACTCATTAAAATTCCATTTTCCCTCTGTTTGCTTTCTATTTCTTATAATGTCTAACCAAATTTCTTCTTGACATGTCTTACCATTGCTAAAATGGTTTGAATAAAGCCAAGAGATAGGTTTGCAATTGCATTATACAATTATCTGTTGTGTTCTATCACTCTATGATAAGTGTTCCATGTGAACAATGATTTAAGAGTTACAAAGTTACAAACAAAATATTGCCACAAAAGGGCAAAAATACTTCTTGACACAATAATGGCAATCAGATATCTCCTTGGACCCACAACAAGTTTACATACACATCAATGATATCCTTGAATATTATGTTTATGCAAAAATGCATACAACATTTGTTTAAATTAACTATTGAATCTGAAAGCACAACCTCTAAAGGCACAGAATTCCACATATTTACTGTTCTTACTTAAGAACCATTTCCTCTGCTATAAATGAAAACGCCTTTCTTCCAGTCTCATTGGGTGACATCTTCTTGTTTGTTGTATACTCCTACTAATGAACAAGTTAGCATATAGCAGTTTGTACTGACCCTGTATATATTTGTATAGTGCTCTCATATCCCTTCTGATGAGCCTTTTTTTTTTTTTTTTTACAAATTTACAGATTTTACTATTAACATGACGTAAAGTCATGATTTTATTAATGACACGGAGGCGAGTATTATGCTGCACTCTTTCTTTATTTCCCTCAGCAGCAAAGAAAAATAACATTAAATCAGTATAAAAGAAACCAGTAAATAACATGAGGTATATCTTCCTAGCAACAGGAACAGCCAATCAGCATCCTCTTTATAGCATAATAGGCAATGTCATGTATACTACTTCCTCTTTCTTGCGATCCCGAACAAGGACAACAAATCCAAATGAAAAGGGGGCTTCAATAAGAGGGTATGCGAGCCTTAACCAGGATCTCGAAGTCAGGCTGGATGAGAAAGGGGAATATGGTAATATCCAAGTATAAAACTGGATTTATGCATAAATTCGCATTACATAGAATATCATATATATATACATAACATGAAATTCAATTTAGTCAAACCTTAAGCTCTTGGCAGCCATTAACAAGGATAAAAGCCAGTAATCAAAAAAGACTTACCGTGAAGTCAACTTACCCAGAGAAGACCAAACCTCCAGGGATGGGAGGGAGGGATAATACTCGCCTTTGTGTCATTAATAAAATCATGACTTTACGTCATGTTAATAGTAAAATCTGTAAATTTTATTAAGAGACAGAGGCTCCTATTATGCTAGTTCAAAGCTGTGAAATTATGTCTCCTGTGAAGTGTTGAATAGGTCTAAAGTAGAAATCATGGAATGTAGACTCCGAAGACCAGCCGCTCTCATAATATCCTCCAAGCGACAACCAATCGAGGAAGCCTTAGAAGCAGTGGCGTACACATGACCCATGGGGCCCCGGTGCGAAAATTGATCCGTGGGCCCCCCCCCCCTCCCGCGCGCGGGCCGGGCCGCAACACATGGCGGTGGGCACCTGGTCGCAGGGGTTACAGGGCTGCGACCCCTGCGACCGCGGTATGTACGCCAGTGCATGCAGATGCACACACACTTAAAGGACCACTCTAGGCACCCAGACCACTTCAGCTTAATGAAGTGGTCTGGGTGCCAGGTCGAGCTAGGGTTGACCCATTTTTTCATAAACATAGCAGTTTCAGAGAAACTGCTGTGTTTATGAATGGGTTAAGCCTTCCCCTATTTCCTCTAGTGGCTGTCCCATTGACAGCCGCTAAAGGGGCTTGCGTGCTTCTCACTGTGATTTTCACAGTGAGAGCACGCCAGCGTGCATAGGAAAGCATTATGAATGCTTTCCTATGTGCCCGGCTGAATGCGTGCACAGCTCTTTCCGCGCGTGCGCATACAGCCGACGGGGAGGAGAAGAGGAGGATCGGAGGAGGAGAGCTCTCCGCCCAGCGGTGGAAAAGGGTAAGTTTTACCCCTTTCCAGAGCCGGGCGGGAGGGGGTCCCTGAGGGTGGGGGCACCCTCAGGGCACTATAGTGCAAGGAAAACGAGTATGTTTTCCTGGCACTATAGTGGTCCTTTAAAGGACCACTACAGACACCCAGATCACATCAGCTCAATGAAGTTGTCAGGGTGTCAGGTCCCTCTAGTTTTAACCCTGCAGCTGAAAACATAGCAGTTTCAGAGAAACTGCTATGTTTCACTGAGGGTTAATCCAGCCTCTAGTGGCTGTCTCACGGACAGCCGCTAGAGGAGCACACTGAACGCCCATAGGAAAGCATTGAGTAATGCTTTCCCCATGGAAGTGAGACTGGAAATCGTCTTGGCAGTGGCATTGAGGAGCTGAGAGGCTGAGGGATCCTCAGCGCCAAGGGAGTCCGGCGCTGGAGAAAGGTAAGTGCTGAAGACACACACACTCTCACTTACAGGCGCATACACACTAGCTAACAGACACACACATTTACTGACAGAGACACACTCAGCGACAGACATACATACACACTCACAAAACATACACTCTCATTGACAAACACGCACTTACTAACAGACATCAAACAGACTCAGTAAGACACACACAGTAACACACTCACTGACACTCACTAGCAGACACACACACTAACACTCACTCTAACACTCACACTAACTCTAACACTCACACTAACACTCACTAACACTCACACTAACACTCACACACACACTAACACTCACACATGATTTTTTTTTTTTTTTAATATAATCCCCCCAGCCTCCTTACCTCTTGGAGTGCTGGGGGGGATTATTCCCTGGGGTCCAGTGGGGCTCCTGTGCGGGTGGCCGGTCGGGCAGGCAGGCAGGCGGGCGCGCGAGGGAGCACTCAGTGCTTCCTCTTCAGCTCCCTCGCGCGCCGCCTAAGGATGCCGGCGCCGGAAGATGACGTCATCTTCCGGCTCCGGTATCAGTGCGGTGCGCGAGGGAGTTGAAGAGGAAGCACTGAGTGCTCCCTCGCGCGCCCGCCTGCCTGCCTGCCCGACCGGCCACCCGGGGTCAGCAGGGCCAGCCTCAGGGGGGCCCTGGGGTGGTCGGCTCCTGGGCCCCCCAGGGGAAGAGGCTGGCCCTGTGGCTACATACCGGGTCGCAGGGGCGGCCGGGCCCCCAGGTGGGCCGGGCCCCCAGGTGGGCCGGGCCCGGTCGCAGGCGCGACCCCTGCGACCCTGGTATGTACGCCAGTGCTTAGAAGCCATTGCCCCACGAACCGAATGAGGCACAAACACATAGGTATCAATATCTGCTATAGACATAACGTATTTGACCCACCAGGCTAGAGTAGACACTGGAAGACGCGACATTTGGAAGGAGATGAAGAGTTCCTGTTTCAAAGGTTTCCGTAACGTAGTGGAACGAAGTTCACACTCCCATAAGTATGCAACAGGGCAAAGGAGAGATTTATCAGGGAAAGCTGGGTATAAAATGATTTTAGAGGAGGTTTTTGTCCTCTGAGAAATGTCAAAGAGGACACCTTCTGGAGTAAAGGAACAAGCAACCACCTCTAGAACTTGTACGTCAGAAAACCTCTTGCAAGAAAAAAATTCAATATAATAGAGATGTCCCACAAGACAGAGTATCGCTGTAAGGGTGGATGAGCAAACCAAATTCCTTTAGAGAAGTCAGCATATATCAGGATGTCAACCGAAAGGGGCATGCAATTGAAACTTTGATGACCAGCAGAAATGGACGATCGGTAAGGTCCACAGTGCGATAGGCTTTACCTTCAGCATACAGAGAAGTCAGAAAAATGGAGGACAGACATAAAAGGAATTTAAATTTAATTTCATGCACCAACTATGCCATGTGTTTCAAGCAGATTTATAAGCCTGTCTCATGTTGGGTGCACCCTCGATAAGTCGGAAAGTTGATTGCGAAACTCCCTCGACCGACTATGGTTCCCTGAAATCAACCACACCATGAGATGCAAGAGACCTTGGAGAACAAGGGGATGAGGCACACTGACTGGATCCTGAAGAAGGCACTTGAGAGATGGATGGAGATGTGGAAGGTCGATAGCCATCTCCTGAAGAGGAGGGAACTATGGTTGGGACGGCGATAGAGGTGCCACGTGTGGTGACATTCTGTCATCAAACTAATATGGTGACCAGGGGTCATATGACCAAGCTCATGTATGCCTTACAGTGGGATAAGCTTTACCCTTTCATATGGTAATTGGGTAATTCAATACCTTTACAAGTCAGGAAAGAGATACCCACTTCCCCCTATCCCCATTCCTTCCTGTTCCTGCTTGGCTGTGCTACTGAGCAGATCTTTTAGTAGACATGGGTTAATTTTTATGATATTGAACTGTGAGTGGGATCTGGTGATTTTATAAGATTTAGTTGTTATTGTTAGTTAGTTAGTTAGATTGTGTGTCATTATTTGTATGTTGTTGTTGTTTTGTCTCTGAATAAATATTTGTTAAAGTAATTTATATGTGTATGCGTACATAATAATTTATAGAGTTTGGTAATTTACCACATTTTGGCGACCATGAGTTTTAGACTTCTACAACAAATGTTTGTGAGGCGTAATAACTACCATATTGATACATGATGTAAGAGCAAGAGACTTTATAGCATAGGATTCATTTTGTTGAAACAAATATACATATGTGTTTTGTTGACTGTTTTGAATTTGTGTATTGTGACTGACAGAACATATTTTGTTGCAAATTGTAGCATTTATAGGTTTACCTTTGTTTCTGTACAGTTTTAAAGTATTGGTGATAAAAAGGGAAAATTGAATAGTATTACTGCATTGGAACCTTTGATGTTTTGGCCATTTTTAATTGCCCATGTGCTGTATTGTCTCTCTCTTGTTGCAACTAACTAGAATGAAACAATCTATTTTAATTGTTTTCGTAAGTGTTAAATTGTGTGGCTTCACTGCATTCTAAGTTTAAAGGACCACTATATGCCCCCACCCTCAGGGTCCCACTCCCGCCCGGCTCTGGGGAGAGGAAAGGGTTAAAACTTACTTTTTTCCAGCGCTGGGCGCGGAGCTCTCCTCCTCCGATCCTCCTCCGTTCCTCCCATTCGGCTGAATGCGCACGCGCGGCAAGAGCTGCACGCGCATTCAGCCAGTCGCATAGGAAAGCATTTACAATTTTTTACGCTGTGATATGTGAAACGTGACTCCTTCGGGTCCAATGGAGAAGGCGTCCTTATCGAAAGTCCGAACGTCAGCCACTCTCCGGAAGGACACCATGCACAACAGGAAGGTGAACTTCGCCGTCAGTTGTTTCAATGAAAGCTGGTCGTTGGGAGGCCAGTCCCTGAGAAAACGAAGGACTATCTCCACATCCCAGAGATGTTGATATTTAGGTGCTGGCGGTCTCCTTAGTTTGATGCCCCGTAGCAGGCGGCATATTAGCGGATCCTGTCCGACTGCCCTTCCTTGAAACGGCACGTGTGCTGCCGAGATAGCTGATCTCGTGACATTTATGGTGCGGTACGACTTCCCATCCTCGAATAGGGCTGAGAGAAAATTCATGACATCGGAAACAGGGGCTGTAAAGGGATCCAAGTCCCGTCCCACGCACCAACTGGTCCAAGCTCTCCATGCTTCTCCGTGTTCCTGGGGCCCAGGAATCCCAAAGGAAGTCCTTAGCCGTTGACGATAATTCGTCGGTACACCAGGTTCCCCTGAAAGAGTCCAGGCCACTAAGGTCAGACGGCCGTCTGACACCATCGGATGTGCGTTCCCCGCCGGGTCCCTGAGTAACATGTCGTCGTTCGGTAGGAGGATCGGGTCCTGATAAGACAATTCGAGAAGGTCCGGGAACCAGGGCTGACTCGGCCAGAGGGGCGTCAGCAGGGTCAGTCGAACCCTTCGTCTGCGAAGGCGATTGAGAACTCTGGCAATCATGGCGAATGGGGGAAAGGCATATGCCCCTTGTTGTGGCCAGTGCTGAGTGAAGGCATCTACCGCTAAGCAATCCGGGTCCGGTAGCCAGCTGTAGAATTGTGGGACCTGCCGGTTGTTTCGTGAGGCAAAGAGATCCAGTAGAAAGGGTCCCTTCTGGTCTTGTAGGTGTGCGAATATTCGCGGATCCAGTTGCCAGTCGCTGGCATCCCTCCAATGACGGGAATACCAATCCGCTGTGAGGTTCGTCTCCCCTGGCAGGTGTTCTGCCCGTAGTGTGATATTGCGTGGGAGGCAGTAGTCGAAGATTTCCTTCGTCAGATGTGCCAGGGTTCTCGACCGGGTACCCCCCAAGCGGTTGATGTATTGTACCGCGGATACATTGTCCATTCTTAACAGTATACAGCAATTGGACTGCCCTTTTGTGAGGCTGTGGATAGCAAAGGAGCCTGCTAGGAGTTCGAGGCAATTGATATGCATCGATAATTCCTGTGGTGTCCATGTGCCCCCTGTGGACGTTTCTCCATCCATGGCGCCCCATCCTAGGTGACTCGCGTCCGACTCCAGGATGAAGTCCGGTTGACTGCCGAAGATGGCCCAACCATTCCAGGCCTGCATGCAGTGGAGCCACCACTGGAGTTCTTGGTATACTTCTTCCGACAGCGGGACCGGTTGGTTGTATGTGGGGTTTTGGCGGAGGAGGCTGGCCTTCAGCCGTTGCATCACTCGGTAGTGAAGGGGTCCCGGAAATATGGCTTGTATTGAAGATGATAAGAGTCCCACAATCCGCGCCAGTTGACGGAGCGGAATGGAATCCAATTTGAGAACCCTGCGGATCTCCTTCTTGATGGCCGTCACTTTGGCTGAGGGGAGATGCAGGGTGCAAGACCTGGAGTCGATCTCGAAGCCCAGGAATTGGATTCGTTAAGCAGGCGTCATTGCGGATTTGGCCTTGTTGACCATGAAGCCCAATGATTCTAACAGTCGTACTGTATACGTAGTGTGCCGGATGGCCAGTTCCCTTGTTCTGCAGAACAAGAGAATGTCGTCCAGATAAATTATGCATCTGATCCCGCGTGTTCGAAGGTGGGATACCACCGGTTTTAGCATTTTTGTGAAGCACCACGGTGCTGAGCTCAGTCCGAACGGAAAGCACGTGAATTGCCATGGCGTGCCGTTCCAGAGGAAGCGGAGAAATGGACGGCTGTCCGTGTGGATTGGAATTGTCAGATAAGCGTCTTTGAGGTCTAGCCGCGTAAACCAATCCCTTTCTTGGAGGAGATCCCGCAATAAATGGATGCCCTCCATTTTGAAGTGGCGGTAGGTCACGAACGTGTTTAGTCCTCTCAAATTGATCACTGGCCGGAAGTCCCCAGTCTTCTTGCGGACGAGGAACATGTTGCTGAAGAATCCTCCCCTTGTGTGCACCGGTTCTATAGCGCCCTTTATGCGAAGCTCGCGGAGTTCCCCGTTTATGAGGCGATTGTCCGCAGCCGAAAGACGCAAAGGATAAGGGGGGAACCTTTGAATGGGCTGTGATCGGAGTTCTATTCGATATCCTTGGACGGTCTGTAGCACCCAAGCGTCCGTGGACAGTTGTGCCCAATTCTGGGAAAAAAGTGAAACACGGCCTGCAATCACAATTATATGAGGTACCGAACAAAGGTGGTCTCTTACCTGTAGGGAAGCGTGCACAGCCTCGTCCTCGACCGCCCCGTCCTCTGTCAGAACCCCTTTGGTAGTAGGGGAATGGTTGCTTGGCTCCGTTGCCCTGGGAACCTTGTTGAGGGAAGAATTGGTGTTGGAAGCCTGTACGGGGGCCTGAAGGCCAGAAACGGCTGGCGGCACCGCCCCGCTGCCGACCAGCCCTTGAAAAAACACCCTTTGCGGAGGTACCTCGGAAGACCTTATGCATGGACGTGCGGGCCCTATTCAAGGAGGTAAAGACGTTTACGTGCTTATTCAGTTCCTTCATAAAAGCTTCACCAAAGAGCTTGCCCTGTGCCTGTGGGCCCAATTCTTTGACCCCGAGGTCAACTAATTTGGGGTCGATACGAAAAAGTGCTGCCCGGCGCCGCTCCGTAGAGAGGGCCGCATTTGTATTACCAAGGAAACAAAAGCCCCTCTGGGCCCACTCTCGGATATCATGTGCCATTCTCGTACCATGTCTGCCGTGAAGGAGTCCGCTCTGGCGTATGCTTCGTCCGCCAGGTACATAACTCGGGCCAAAGGGCCCATTGTGTCTAGGAGTTTATCCTGAGCTCCTTTAAAACTCTTCTCAATCCCCCTCCGTGGGTCGCGGCCCCCTTGTTCCATAAAGGTCAGCATAAGCTGATCAAATTCCGGCGTATAGGCCACTTTATCTGGCAGGGTAGGTCTCGGACACTCTGCCCGCATCCTCTTACGGATATGTTTTTCCAAAGGTTTTCTGATCCAAAAATGCATGAAGCGGATGAGATGATCAGGTGGGGCCCACTCACCCGAGCGGGGGTGGCGAATCTTCCTAGGATCAAACATTCTCTGGCCCGTGGAGTCCAGGAATATTTCCTGCTCCTGCGTGGCCGTGGCGGGGGGTTCCGCATCTCCTTTTTGCTGGGGCTCACCCAGAAATGTCTCGGTGACATAGGCGTTGGGACCCCAACCGCCCTCGTCAGAGTCGGAGGTTTCAGCCTGCCACTCATCCAGAATGGAGAGAGAGTGGGGCACGTCATGCTCCTCATCCGAGGAGGCCTCCCCAGCGTACACGGGAGGTATCTGATTAGTGCGTTTATTGCGCTTCATAGGGGCCTTGCCTTTGAAGGCGGCTCTCTTGGAACCTTCGCCCTTCCAGTGGCGCTTCGCCGGGCGCTTCTTTTCTCTAGTGGAGTCATCCGACTCATCTGAGTCTTCGTGAGCCTGGTGTGGCTTGTTAGACAGCGCGTTAGATTCAGCGGGGGCAGGAGCCGCTTTTGCTAACGCCTTCTCCAAAGACGCAGCTACCGCCGCGTTGATCATTGCTTGAAGGTCACTGGTATTAATTGTGTCCTCCATGGTGTGGGCACTAACAGGCACAGGTATAGCGGGAGGGACTCAGGTTAAATAACGCTCAGTGGCGTGGTACTGGACTCCTAGTCGCTGGGGCTCACCCAGGTTCACAGGGAACTGCTTTAACAGTTCCCGCTATGCAGCACTCAATGGGGGCTCACCCCTAGCCAGGATATTGGGCTAAACCCTACTGGCAGTCCCACTCCCCAGGGGCAATGACACCAACCTGTGAAGTTCCCAAACGAATTCCACCTCAGCAGTATTAATAATGAGCTTGTTAGAGCTAGAGCCTTCTCTTGATAGGTGTTGTACTCCACGAAACCGATTACCCACAAAATGGCCGCACGGGTCTCACGAGACTATCGGGCACAAAGCCCGCAAAAATGGAGCCCTTTAAGCGTTTAGCAGTTTAGCCGCGAACGGCCGTTCGCCTGGCTGAAACCGCCGAACACTATGTGTGTAACAAAGCCGCGAACGGACTGAATTCCCTTTTTAGTAATTCGGGAAAACTGTCCGTTCGCGCAAATTTACTCGTTCGCGGCAAAACCCCGCGACCGGCTTGGGGGGCGCGAGCAGTTCCAGTCCGCCCGTTCGCGCCTTTGAAGCCGACGGCGCGAACGGGTCGGGCCGCGAATGCCCGGTGCCCTCTGAAACGAGGGTCGAGCCTGTTCGCGCTACTAGAGCGCGAGCAGAGCGAAACGGCAGAGAAAAAAGGTGGCAAGCGTAGCCACCCGGTGGAAGAAGGGAAAAGGAAGGGAGGGGGAGGTGGGGGGTGGGAGGTAGTCGGACAAAAATTCCGTCGAGCAGGGAGAAGAGAGCGCTGGAAGAGATTGTCCCAATTAGAGAGCACAGCTCCCCTGACAGGAGAGGGTAGTCCCATTCAGGTCCCCCCTGGCCCCCAATACACTAAAGCATACCAGCAAATAAAACAGTAAGAAAAGACAAAGTACAATTAAAGCAAAACATACAGTCAATAACACCTTAAAGAAACCTGACAGGAATCTTAAAGAAATCAGTACTCTGACCTTACTTGTGATGGAGCAGCAAAGAAAGAGGAAATGGTTGGCTACGCTGGGACTTATATATCCTCTGTTTTACTCTGATTGGTTCTTTCTTTAATGGTTTTTTTTTTCTTTGCTGCTATGGAGCTAGTAAAGAAAGTTAATGCAAATACGAAGCCTACTGTCATGTTATAAAATTGGTGGATTAAGGATCCTTCCTCAGAACAGGCCTTCTCTGTTTCAGCCCTAAGAACATTCAAGGTCGACTCTGGTAGAGATATAGATGGTAAATGGAGAAGCCAGAGGTGGGATGTACCCCAGAACAAGAGGGATAATGAGAACTGGAGACCAAAACAGGACTTTGACAAAAGATGGAGAGATCCACAAAGGGACCATAGGAATAGGGACAGTGCTAAAGAAAGCAATGTAATGGGAGATTGTAACGGACCATTTTGCACAAAAGGGCTAAAAAATGCTTAGACGATAATCCCCTTTCAGAGACAGGCACAGCTACTGTAGAATCACCCAAAACTCACGAATTGAATACAAGTGAATGCACCAAACTCCCGAACTGCATACAAGGGAATAAAGTAGCACTCCAAACTCCCGAACTGGAACCTCACGAATAGCTGCTAGCAGACGAACAGGAAAAGCACCCAAGCGGCTTACACTCCTGGCAATCAGTCCTTAGCAGCATACAGTAAATCCCCCCAAAGACGAGACAGAGCTCCGTGTTGAGGGTCAAGCAGTGGTCTGTTTAATGAGGGCTACCTGCCCAGTATTTATGCAGGTCTCCCACCTGGTGGACACTCCCCTAGGGGACCAGATGGAAGACTGTAACAAAAGACAGACATGTACCAATTACAGACATACAGAAGTAAAACATCCCCACAATGCATCCTGGCTTCCTCCCCTCTGCCCTGGAGAAGTAATTCAATTATCTCCCAGGACAAAGGCAAAACTCCATTACACACGTGGGGACACAAAACCAGTATTATACTTTAAAATACATAAAGTAACATTTATTACATAAAACACAGACATGTAACATATCCCCAGATAGCTCAGGTCTGAGCGCACATTATTAAGCGAATGGCGCTCAGACCACACGAATACAGTTTAATCGCCATGGAGCCAAAGTCTTTACAGTCAGTTTCATACGAATGGGCTCCATGGGATTCCTATCTGGGGTATAACACATTCAAACAAAACTACCGAACACCGGGCCGTTCGTGCACTTCCACCGAACAAGAAGGGAGGTCAGCGGCTTCAGCGGTGTTCGCGCAAAACTGTGTCCGATTTTAGTTCCATGAAAATAGGGGCGAACACCGCTGTGCATTCGTATGTTTAAAATGGCCGCGACCTCGTGTTCGGGATACGAATGGCGGCCACCCAGCATTCGTCAATTAAGCTGCGGTTAACCGCAGCTTCAGGGAGGTTAATTGCCGGCACACTCCAGCTCCCAGGTGGTCTATTCATTCGTGCGGTTGTTCGGTAGATTGAATCTACTGAACAACCGGCAGAAAAGCACGAATACAGCTTTTCTGCAGGCAAAATAAAGTCTTTTAAAAGGGGGCCATAGTCCAGAGGCAGCAGGCGAGCAACCAGGCTTCTCCAATGCAATGTGGCGAGATTGGTCTCGTCACAGAGATAATTGGGAAAATAGATGGGAGGAACCTAAGGTAATCAATAATAATTGGAATAATAATAATAATACCTGGGAGAGGCTAAAAAGGAGAGATAATAACTGGGAAAATCACAGTTGGTAAGAAAAACAGAGAAACAACAGGAACAGTTATTGGGAGAATAATTGGAGAAGGAACCATAAATGGGATGAGCATCAGACCAATAGACGGAATTGGGATAATTGGAGGAATAAAGAAGGGAATAGAGACTACTGGGACCTAAAGAGACAGACTGAGAGATTGGAGGCAGACGTGAAAGCGCTTAGGGAACAGATGAGGGAGGGAAATACTGATCAATTGGGGGTCCCCAGCAATTAATAACTCCCATAATTTTTTGTTGTCCTCTACATCTGTATGTATGTTTGTTTTTCTTTTGTTTCTATATTTTATCTGTCTCACCATTATCTCGTAACACTCCAGTTTAAAGAGGACCTTAGTATGTATTGTTACATATATATTTTTTTCATATTAAGGATAAGCCTCTAAATTCATTAATTATAGTCAGGTGGACCAAATTCCAATTTTTTTTTTGTTTTTGTTAGTTTAGCACACCTGCACTGCCAGCTATGTTTTATTTATTTTTTTGATGCTGGATTAATAATTATAAATTCATAGATTAAGTGAATTGTTCCCAATGTGAGGCTTATATTTGATCACACTGGAGAGATGTGATAGTATAACTTTCTGTTGGTTTACAACAGTAAAAACATTAAAAACATTTTTTTTATTTGATTACCAACAAATATAGCCTCAAGTTGATTTTTGAATAGCAACAGACAGTTTTCTATAGATTGCATGCTGCCAAACTGTGTAATGGTAGCATTCAATCTACTTTTTTTTCTTCTCTCTCCATCTTTGATGCTTTGTTTTTTTGTTTTGTTTTTTGTCATTAAGAATATAGGGAAATTAGATTGCCTTGAGTGAAGATGGCATAAATAATAAAGGGACAATGTATGCTATTTGTTCTATTTGGCTATCTGCAGGGGGTTAAATAGTTATGGGTATAAGAATTTGCACCTATGTTCAATTGCAAATACATTTTTCACCCTTACATCTTTCCCACTCACATTCATGTATAATAATTTTCGGTTAAAACTGTGTACATTTTGTGCTTATTGCATGCATTCATCAGTAAATTGTAAAATAACTAATATGGTTTTGTGTTCAACTCTCCATCAGGTGGGGAGTAAATGTCTAAATTAATCAAAATTTCAGGAGACATTTGTGGGTCTTTTACCTACCTCTAAAATGTAAACATAGCCTTAAGACACCACAACCAAATAGATTTTATTAGACAAAACTAGTTAAGCCTTTGACACAAGACAATACACTGATTACTGTTGTACATATTTCATTATCTGTGTTTGATTCAAAGAACATTTTAATTGGAAGGCCCAGAGAGGCGAAGGTAACTGACATGTCCTGTCTCAGTTTACTATACAGATGAAGAAGTGCTGGGATTTCCAAAACAAACTATTATCCTGAAAATGATTACTATTCAGATGAAGAGGTGCTGGGATTACACATCAAGCTATTATCCTGAAAATGGATACTATACAAGTGTAGAAGTGCTGAGATTACCAAGTCAAACTATTGACACAGCCCAGAATGAGGGTTAAGTAACACAGCAAGAAGCAGGAATTTGTGTCATTTCAAGGTGGTCACAGAATGAGTTTACCCTACACTCATGAACTTGCATGTGTCATTAAACCTACAAACCTCAAGCTTTGTAATGGATTGGCAAAGACAATATTCAAGGAGAGTTCATTCTAAAATCACAGCTATCAAGCACACAGATCAGTCACAGTCTTCAGATTCCAGTCCCAGTGAAACTAAACATCATATTGTGTCATAAACTAGTGATAATTACTGTATGGGGTTGATTGTGTCTAGATTTTACTACTTCACATGAACACATTACCATATAATATTAATGAACAACTACCAGGGTTCTTACCAACCCACTAGGGCAGTGGTTAATTTAAAAACAGAACAACTGAAAACAATAGAAATTGGGGGAATGTGGGGTGATGCAACCCCTGTTTGACTATATTCTCACACTTTTAAATGTGCTCAACATAAGAGAAAAAAAAGTGAGGGAATGTGGTGACATTCTGTCATCAAACTAATATGGTGACCAGGGGTCATGTGACCAAGCTCATGTATGCCTTTCTTACAGTGGGAGAAGCTTTACCATTTGATATGGTAATTGGGTAATTCAATACCTTTACAAGTCAGGAAAGAGATAACCACTTCCCCCTACCCAGATTCCTTCCGGTTCCTTCTTGGCTGTGCTGCTGAGCAGATCTTTTAGCAGATATGGGTTAATTTTTATAATATTGAACTGTGAGTGGGATCTGGTGATTTTATAAGATTTAGTTGTTATTGTTGGTTAGATTGTTGTTGCTGGTGTTAAGTTAGTTAGATTGTGTGTCATTATTTGTATGTTGTTCTTTTGTCTCTGAATAAATATTTGTTAAAGTTGACGGACCATAATTTATATGTGTATGCGTACATAATAATTTATAGAGTTTGGTAATTTACCACATTTTGGCGACCATCAGTTTTAGACACCTCACAACAAATGTTTGTGAGGTGCAATAACTACCATATTGATACATGATGTAAGAGCAAGATACTTTATAGCATAGGATTCATTTTGTTGAAACAAATATACATATGTGTTTTGTTGACTGTTTTCAATTTGTGTATTGTGACTGACAGAACATATTTTGTTGCAAACTGTAGCATTTATAGGTTTACCTTTGTTTCTGTACAGTTTTAAAGTATTGGTGATAAAAGGGGAAAATTGAATAGTTTCACTGCACTGGAACCTTTGATGTTTTGGCCATTTTTAATTGCCCATGTGCTGTATTGTCTCTCTCTTGTTGCAACTAACTAGAATGAAATTTAATCTATTTTAATTGTTTTCTTAAGTGTTAAATTGTGTGGCTTCTAAGTTTAAATAAGTTGTTTGGTAATTTACCACACCACGATTACCAGTTGCCGGATTGGCGACGTAGATGCAAAGGCAACAGGGAATCAGTGCAAAGGGCGGAAAATCGTAATTCCTTGAAGAAGACCAATCTGAGAAAAATTCGTAGCCAGTGCTGTCAGATCTAGTCATTCAAACAAGAAGCGAAAAGATCTATTTCCAATAGACCCCATGGGTTCCAGATGTCCATTGGGCTTCAGTTGGGGAGAAACTGCGGACTGCAAAGGAACGGGCCAGAAGTTCCAAACAATTCATGTGAAGTGTCGATTCCTGGTCCGATCATCTGCCCTTGGTGGAAATATTTCCACATTGAGCGCCCCAACCATGCAAACTTGCATCAGATTTGATTATCAAATCTGGAGCTGTACAGAATATGGTGCGTTCATTCCAAGCTTCCATGTGAAGAAGCCATCAATGGAGTTCATCCTTCGCTTCTGAGTCCAGAGTTACAATATCTTTTTACGATGCACTGCCCTTGAGATTAAGTTTTTAATCTTTTGTAGGACTCGATAGCCAAGAAGACCTGGAAAAATGGCCTGTATAAATGCCGCTAGAAGGCCTAACATTCTCAACAGTTGTTTGAGAGAGAGTTGAGAGGTTGCTAGTGTTCGCCTATATCCTTCTTGATATTGGCTGATTTTGCCACCAGAAATTATAGAGTTTGAAGGGTAGAATGTACAATAATCCAATATAACCCAGAAAGTTGATTTGTTGCGTGGGAACGATAATGGATTTCTCCCAATTGATCAGGAATCCTAGGTTCTCTAACAGAGTCAAAGTCCATGAAAGGTATGTCTGGATTAATTGAATAGACTGAGCCAGAATGAAAATGCAGTCTAAATACATTATAAGACATACTCCCCGACTCCGTAGCAGGGCGACCATAGGTTTCATGCGCTTGGTGAAGCACCATGGAGCCAAAGACAGTCCGAAAAGGAGCCACCTGAACCTCCATTTCCTGCCCTACCATGTAAACTGCAGGAAGTTCTCGATCTTGATGGAATCTTGATGTTGGACTGCGATAGGCACTGTGAGATATTTATTTACTACTGCTATTTATAAAGCGCCAACAGATTCCGCAGCGCTGTACAATTAGTGGAGAAACATACAATATACACAGACAAATACAAGAGGTAGAGAGAGCCCTGTCCGTAAGCTGATATCTAGCCATTGGAGCTCTTTTATACAAAGTGCTTGGCTAGATGGCCCGTGAGCTTACAATCTAAAGGATACCAGGGGGATTATTGACAAGAGGTAGCAGGGGTAGTTTGGATGTCATGGCTGGAAGATTTTACAGAGAAGCAGCAATTGGTAAGATATAAAGGGAATGAAGAGGTAATTGAGTGAGAATCTCAAACAGCTGGAGAGGCATGCTATATATTTAGGGGGAGCCTGGGTGGGCAGGAGGAGGGGAGGGTAGGTGGGAAGTGGGGAGAAAAAATGCAGTCTTTTACTGAGTTCAGAGTGATGTGAAGCCTGAATAACAGAGAATGAGATGGAACAGTCATATGAAGGTATTTACAACTGGGGAGGAGAAAGGGAGAGGGAGAGAGGGGAAAAGGGAGGGGGGTTAGGGTAGCCATGTGTTCTATACTATTGAAAAGTTTAGCAACCAAATTCTATCGCCCAAAATATTAATAACTGTCTACATGGAATATTGGTCAGAAACATTAAATGACCATAGTACAAACGGCATGCACAGAAAAATTACAGTGGAAAATGGTATACAGTGGTATAAATGGTAACAAATCTATAGTAACACCTGAGAATACGTTAGCAATCCAGGAATATATGGGGTGGAGTATCTTCCAAGCTTCAGTCAGTACCTGAAGGTGGTAGGTGTTTCACTGCAGGATGTTAAATGCAGTCTTTCACTGCAGATCCAATTTGGCCATCCAATCTGCTGGTTGAAGAAGATCCCTTAAGCAACGCCCTCCTTCCATCTTGGAAGTGCTGATATGCCTCATAACCACTGTCTCAAATTTATCACTGGGCGAATACCTTCCTTCAGGTAAGTCCTGACAGTAATGTATAAAGTAAAAGATCCCACAGTTAAGAACCGTGGGACCCAGTGTCACATAACTGAGGGAGCAGCAAAGAAAGAGGTAGTAGTATACTGGACACCGCCTATTATGCTATGAAGAGGATGCTGATTGGCTGTTCCTGTTGCTAGGAAGATATACCTCTCATGTTATTTACCGGTTTCTTTTATACCGATTTAATGTTATTTTTCTTTGCTGCTGAGGGAAATAAAGAAAGAGTGCAGCATAATAGGAGCCTCCGTGTCTTAATAAATTCCAGTTTTTCTAGCCTTTTCTCATAACAAATGTGTCAGGGTGGCAGTCTGAAGACCGGGACCCCTGTGCCTGACGTAGAAGATGAGCGGAGTCTTCAGCGTGGAAGTGGATAAGAAGGGCCTGGTGCAGGGTAGCCACACGCCCCCTGGTGTTGAGCACCAGCATTTGTGCGGCCACAAACCAGAACCCAGTTGCAGCTTATATGGATGCGAGGAGCAGATGATATGCTGAGATGTATCCAGTACTTGAAACAAGGTAAGACTAGAATAGGCACCAAACAAGACAAAACTAGAAGAACCCAGAACCAGAGTAGGATAGAAAGCAGGACCCAGAATATGTACACAATAAACATTAACAGAACATGGGCAGGGCAGGACAGGACAGGACTGTATATGGACTGGGAATACAAAATAAAACAAGACAAGAGATATAAGGCAAAACAAGAGGAGACAAAACTAAGTACTATTTATGTAAAACATTGGAGATTTAGACATACATAAATGGCCAATATGTATGCAGCCCACCACTGCACCAAAGTACTCCAAGAATGGTGGTCCTAACTGCCTAGATATGCATGACTAAATAAACAATAATAAAACACACACAGCACTTACCTGCAAAGGAAGGGCAGAGGACATGAAACAACTGCCTGCAGGAACCAACTGAAACAAAAGGAATAATGAAAAATGAAAGGGAGTGGCAACATAAAACAAACATAAAGGAATCCAGGAGACTGGGAATTCCAGGAATGGAATAAAGGAATGAACCCAGAAAACACAGCATAAAGAAAACCAGACACAGAATAGAAAACCAGAAAAACCAAGAAAAACAAGAATTGTAAAAAGAGTACTAGATACCAGAAGCCATGGTCAGACATCAGAGCAGAGCAGAGCAGAGCAGTTCCTGACAAAATGTTCCATTACCCTTACTAGTTTCGTAGCATGCCACTGAACTTCTGCAATATCCTTCTTTAAACTGGTGCCTAAGATTGCAACACATATTCAAGGTGGTGTCTTACCATTGATTTGTAAAGAGGAAAAATTATATTTTAATCACATGAATCAAAACCCCTCTTCATACATGAAAGCACCTTACTAGCTTTTGCAAAGGCAGACCGGCATTGCATACTTTTGCCTAGATTGTGATCTATAATTTAAAAAAAAAAAAAAAAAAACTGCAATGTTTCAATTGCAGGGCTATGACTGCCTCTATTGGCTGTGAATCAGACCCTGTTAAATGACCTGTTAAATGCTGTATATGAAAACATTTGAAAGCCCCATATTACAGCACTGATTCAGTACTTTCTTATGGGGAAGTCCTAGTGCGCTTGCGATGCTCGTCGCTTATGTGCATTAGGTCCTCCCATCAGATGAAGTCAGAGAAGGCGGTCCCGATATCGTGAATTGGGTGAGTGAATAAAGTTTTTTTTTTTTAAACCCTTTATGTGCCGGAGGTGGGCATGAGAGAGGAGGGGAGCAGAGGGCACTAAAGTGTTAGGAATACAGCTTTGTATTCCTAAAACTATAGATTCCCTTTAAGCCAGTGATCTATCCAAGAACACAATACTTTGTCTAACTCAACTGATTTCAGTTTAACTAGTATCCTTTTGTGTGGAACTGTTTTAAATGCCTTAGCAAAATCCAAGTAGATCACATCTGATGGATCACCGCGATATATACTTGCACTAGCTTTTTTATAGAATGCAATTAAGTTAATTATTCCACATGTCAACTGCTATGAAAATCACAGTGAGAAGCGCGGACGCGCCTCTAGCGGCTGTCAATGAGACAGCCACTAAAGGCTGGATTAACCCATTTGTAAACATAGCAGTTTCTCTGAAACTGCTATGTTTATAGAAGAAAGGGTTAATCCTAGATGCACCTGGCACCCAGACCACTTCATTAAGCTGAAGTGGTCTGGGTGCCTATAGTGGTCCTTTAAAGTGCTATATTAATCTCTATTTACCATTGGAATCTGAAATGAATGTTAATAGTGAGATTGTAGTTTCAATCACTCCTTCCTCCCTGACTGTAGGAATAGTATCATCCATTGAAACTAACTTTACTGTTTGTAAGGAGAGGGCAGCTGTCATTTTAAGCACACTTGCAGACATTCAATGAGTAGCTAGTGGCTCTGGTGGGTTAATTTTTTTCCTCTACAGGCTGGTAACATTTCACGGAGTATAAATAAGAGTGATGCAACTTTATGGACTAGATTTAATTTTGCAAAGTAAATGAAAGTAAAATGCTCTCAAATGTAACACATGTTCATCAGAGCCTAATGCTATAGATAACATGAAACAGAGTAGGAGTAGGAGTTTAAACAAAATTTCAATGACAATTTGAACCTGGGCTCTATAGACACTGCATTGCAACAAATTAGCAAAGGAATTGCAATATTTAGATTGCAAAAAATCCTAATTGACTATTTTAGATAAAATGTTTATATTCCCTTGTAAAAATCTCACCAATTCACTAGAAATGATTGTTTAGTATATACAATTCTCAGAAATGTATCTGGCGTGCCAAGCAGGCTTCTTATATAAGATATGATTTATCTCAAGATTGTAAGTTCTTTTGAGCGGGATCATTATCAACCCATTGTTACTGTACCAATTTGTGATTGCCTCAATTATTGTTAAATGGTCCCCTTTTACAATGTAGTAAAGCACTGCAGAAAATGTTGGCACTATGTAAATGCCAATAATAATAATAAATAATAATAGAAAATGGTAATACCGAACAAAATATTTTGAAGGTTGATTTATATTGTATATGAAATGGTATTCAAAAGTTAGGCAGAATAAATTCTGTAATACTGTTCATGTGGAATAAGTTTCTTACAATCCGTAAATTCCGTAATAATGGAACACGACAACCAGCCATGCCTTAAACATAGTCTTTAACAGCAACATTTCTTTGCTTTAAGCAATATATTTTGGGGAGAAAAACATAAACTTTTTTGTCTTGTTTTTTTGATGGGTCATTACGTCTCACATGAGCCTAACTATAGATGTCAGATTCTGCTTCTGAGCAGGCATTTATTTTCTTATTGTTTAAGTATTCATTTAAAGATGTTATTTTTATTGCAAATAACTTGGTATATTTCTACTAAATGCCTCACTTTGTATTTTTTGTCTTATATTTAGTCATTTACATTTTTATTTCATATCCATTTTTGTTTATAAGATAAAGATCGAATTTAAAAAAATACTTAAAATATTTTTGAAGGCTTTAGGGTTGTCAAATTAACATATTTATGAGGGCTACTTGCCAATTATCTTCCAAGTTGTGCTTTAAGTTTACTTGATCAGCCATAGCATTAAAACCACTGACAGGTGAAGTGCATTACATTGATTATATTGTTACAATTGCACCTACCAAGGGGTGGTATATATTAGGAACTGTTTTGGGCATAGGACTATGTGTGTGGCCAGAACTTTACCCCAGTGGCATTCCAGCTGTGTTCGTGGGATCTGAGTGCTTTTCGGATATGTTGGGCGCTCAGATCCAGAATATCCGGGAATGTATAAACTATAGGGGTTCCTCTGTGCAAAATATGTATTTTTGTGTGTTTTCTATAATTTGTCATTTTATGCTTAGTCATGGTGACATGACATTTTGGAGACATTTTGTGGGTGTGTTTATGGGACTGTCATGGGCATGTTTACTGTGTCTCTGTATTGTATAAAAGCAGGCCATTGAGCCTGGATTAATCAGATTTGTTTTAAACTTCATCTTGTCTAGGCTGATGTTTGGGGAACTGGGATCTATAATTACTGCATCACTTGGGACTTGGGAGACTTACAAAGAATATACTCAGTCGGAGTATTGGGGATTCGTTACATGGCCAAATTGGAAAAAAATCTCTAATTTGTGTTTCCAGTTCAGTTCTGCTGGCCTGTTCATACTCTCTGTGGTGTAAAAAAAAGTAACCATGGAGCGGCCATTTACCATCCCTATGTGAACAAAATTAGAAATTGCATTAATGAAAAGTGAAATATATAAAATCGAATGTTATTATGTGTATATGCAAATTTGACATACAGCTGGATAGCACTTTCAAGCAATCATGACCAAATATAATTAATTAAATCCACCTAAGTATGGTAATCTGGAAATCCTGAACTGGTTGGTCCACAAAACTAACAGCAGGGGACAAAAAAGGGTACAACTCTTGCTTCACACTTTTTTCTACAGGGGTGTTGTTTGATTCTAGTAACAGCTTGGGCTTGAGCACAAAGGAAATCTTAACGGTCCTTACACTAGCAGAGATGTTAGGGTATGTCATGACCTTGCTATGTTATGTCCCTTCCTCTCTACTTGTGAACAGCATGCTGCTAAAGCTTCACACGATCTCAGTAACTGCCAGTAACAAGCACAATAAAGGGGTGTGCAGCAAAGTTCTGTTCCCCAGACTCACATGTTGATGGTAATATAAAACCAGGGAGTATATGACAAATGCATGACATTTATTGAACTAGATCATCTGGTTTCAAAATTTCAGCTGTTCAAATTGACTCAAAATGGTTCAAATTCATTAAACCAAAGGAGAAATTGTGTGTGCGGACGATTTATTCATGGCGCAAGAGAAAATAACTTTTCAATACACAAATCCAGGAAGAAACATGTCCACGTGTCCAATCAAACATGGATCTTCTTAGAGGTGTGCAATTCTGCCTGATATATAAAGGAGTCAGATGGAAACGAAAGAAGCACAGGCGTATATTCGTTATCCAGCTCCTAGTGAAGGGAATTAAATGTTTGCTTCTGTATTTTGGATTCAGAATGTGTTGGGATTTCTTTCTGTGATTTAAAATACAATGCACCAAAGAGACGAAAATAATATATGCAAATGATGTGGTCTGAATAATATCTTGTTCCAGCCATAAAACATTCTAGAGTTAATGCAAATTCCGTGACTCGAGCAAAGTGGGAGCAGAACTGTTTGTCAATCTTTAGTGAAATCCATAAATCAGTTGTGTATATATAAATACCCACAAAGGTTCAGAAACTGCTATATTTACCTAGAGACAAGAAAAACAAAACGTGCCAAAGGACATGTTTAGTATTCCTTATAATTCCTCATAATTTTAAACAAAGTTCATTGAATATAGAAAATGTTGTGTAATCGCAGATACGATCACATGTTAACAGGTGATAATTTACCATACATGCTGCTTGTTATTTAAAAAAATAAATACATAATTATTTCTCACATTCTCTCACCGCTCTACTTTTCTCATAGAAACATGTGATGGCACATAAGAACCATTCGGCCCATCTAGTCTGCCCAATTTCTAAATACTTTCATTAGTCCCTGGCCTTATCTTATAGTTAGGATATTATGCCTATCCCGCGCATGCTTAAACTCCTTCATTGTGTTAACCTGTACCACTTCACCTGGAAGGCTATTCCATGCATCCACTACCCTCTCAGTAAAGTAATACTTCCTGATATTATTTTTAAACCTTGCCTCTCTAATTTAAGACTATGTCCTCTTGTTGTGGTAGTTTTTCTTCTTTTAAATATAGTCTCCTCCTTTACTGTGTTGATTCCCTTTATATATTTAAATGTTTCTATCATATCCCCCCGTCTCGTCTTTCCTCCAAGCTATACATGTTAAGATCCTTTAACCTTTCTTGGTAAGTTTTATCCTGCAATCCATGAACCAGTTTAGTAGCCCTTCTCTGAACTCTCTCTAAAGTATCAATATCTTTCTGGAGATATGGTCTCCAGTACTGCGTACAATACTCCAAGTGAGGTCTCACCAGTGTTCTGTACAATGGCATGGACACTTCCCTCTTTCTAC